AAAGGATAAAGGAGGACTCTGACTTTTCTATAGTACTAGATTTCGATATTCTGTTATTTTGTGACCTTTACTTTATGCCTTCTTGTGGTAATGTGGCTCTTATCTCAAAATCTTAAACCTTTCTCTTTATATAATCTTAACAAAATATAAGAGAAATAAAGGACAAACAAATGAGAAATAAACAGATGTTTTTAAATGCCGAGAGGAGATAGAATATTAATGTAGTACATTACTGAAAATGCTGAGAATGAAGTAGCTACTAAACATTACTGTAGAGCATATGTAAATGGTCAAAACGGTCAAGCTGTTTTGACCGTTTACACAACGTGACATAATTTTAAAAAGACTTGTTGCTTAAATGTAGCCCAATTTAGGTCCAATAAGCCCCACATACATTCTAGCACATGAATTAACTATACAAATGTTTACTTTATTTTCTCCAATGAATATAAACTTCGACCACCAGTTACATTAAAAAAAAAAATTACATTTTGCAACACACTGGCGAGTTAAATCCATCGCCAATACTGTGATGGACTTTCTTGTGAATGTTTGGATGCTAGCACGCTGCTGCAGTGGACTGTAGTTTGCATAGAAATGTGAACTTATCTGCAAAAACTCGTTAACTACTAACTGAGCGGTACAGAAACTTCCAGAAAGTCCAAACTTTTACTTTGAATGAAAATGTCTCTATTAGCCTCCATCAAGCTTAAGTATCTATCTTACTGCAGCGCTGCTGAGTCAAACGTTTCTAAGCCATGACACAACCACACTGCAGGTTTTCCCTATTATGTACTGATGCACACAAACTAACCGCCACTAACAAATGCTCTCACCAAGGAGATTTGCAGGCACAAAAGTATATGAACCCTCACTATTCCCCCGGCTTACTGCCTCCTCAGTGTGACCTCACCACCTGCACTTCAGACTTTGCATTTCTTTTTCTCCGAGCCATGTTTAACAATTTGCTGCCAAAAAGAATAGCAGGTAGGGTACCAGCCCATTTTAGCTGATGATGCAGTTTGTAAAGGCGGCAGGATGTGTCTCACACACACACGAACACACTGCAAATACTCTGAAACGTCTTATATTAACTCCCTGACAAACAATGGAAACTCAAGCAGACACACACCTTACATTCCCCATACACTCACACACCCGAGGCTCAAAGATTGTATAGAAGTTGTGTAGATACTGATGAAATGATGACACTAATGTGTGAGAACATGTGCATCTTTTTACACCCTGAGGTTTTGTTGCATACAGTTAATGTGTAAATATGAAAAAA